CCAGGTGGGGGAGGAGGAGGTGGAGGTGGTGGTGGAACTCCAGCACCTCCTGGAAGTGGTGGAGGTGGTGCTCCAGTTGCAGTAAGGCCTGTAGCAATCTGCAAATACAGAACACAGATGTCAACAATGGCCCACAAATGCATTTAAACTCGCTTTGATCTGATTGAAACTGATGTTCTTAATACAAAAAAGCTACAAGGACAGTGAAGAGGCCTCCGTGTCCTCTGTGTGCAAACCACTAATCTTGCTTTTACTGATTACCTGCTCTACAAACTCAGCCACATCTACCTCCTTTAATGGAAAGCATCCGTTTTATACCCTTGAAACTTGCCACTAGCTTTGACTGTGGGCAAACAGCACGGTGTTAGTGTGAACAGTCAACCACTGTAGTGTTAAAAGTCAAGTGGGAGCAAATTCACTAGACATATAAAGGTCTCATATTTACGCATTCTGTGAATTTTCTTATGTCTAACTGGCATATCTCTGGAAATTAGCGAAGTTAACTTTTGCTATCAGCATATGTCATTCATTCAAAGCATTTTCAGGCTCCTTTCATGATGTCTACATTTCTACATTGTTATGTTTCAGCCTAATTTTATAATGGATTCAGGTAATTTTTCTCTCATCAATCAATACTAGACAATAGTTCAGCAACAAAGTAACAACAGTTGTTTTTTACAGATTATGTTTCAATCAAATATATAAATATTCCATTTGCAGATTCTTCTGGTGGCAGAAATAAGAACCTTAAGTCTTTTAGCTTTTCTCTGTGGCAATAATGCTCAGGTATGATAGGGGGTGTCAAAGAACAGCAATGTTCATGTCTCTCTAGAGTTGCACTATTATAGTTAAATGCAGCTATAGTTAAATTTGTGTTTAGCTTTAGCGGAGCATTTGCTTCTCATTTTGTGATAATTATTCAGGTAGTGGCAAACTTCCAGTGGACTGTCATGTGCCTTTTAGCATCCATCTGGCCACTCTTCCATAAATGCCTGATTGGTGGAGTGCTGTACCAGTGATTGCCCTGTAAAAGATGTTGGGGAACAGAATGTCTCCAAAAGATGGATCTCAACAGCAACCACTAAGTTCTAAGTTCATGTCTAACAACAACAATTTATCCACGATTAATCAGCTTGGCTGGGCTGTCAGACCTAGAAAGACTGTGTTGGTGGTTCATTCATTTGAGAATGATGCTAGCTAGTAGCTGCCATGTTCTTGGACAGTTTTACTACCACACAAACTTTCTTGCATCGTTATACCTTTCTGTGCATAGTCACGAACCCTATATCCTTTATGCCTTGGTTTTCAGTCTGTGACCATTATCTATGAGGCCTTATACAGAAAGATTCCAGGTGCTCTTATTTTGAAAGCTCACTTGCTGCTAACCAGCTAGTCCCAGTCCTTCCCAACTCCCTATTAGCCAGTTGACAAAGTTGCAGTAGTAGCAGTCTTCAATACCACTCCCTCCCCAAAATGTCTCTTGTCTTATATTTGGATGTACTCCAACTAAACTGTCTTGGACTGCTACTGATGATCTACTGCAAGATAAAGGGTACTCCAGAAGGAACCTGCTGCATGTGGATAACTGAGCCGACAAGGACTGAAGTGCAGAGGGAGGCCTTGTGTGTTTGGAAAACCGTCCTCTCATTGGAGATAATTAATAATAAAGTTTATATTTGTAAATTGTACGTTTTTATTCCAGCCTAATAAATCAACAAAACACCAAAAATCTGTAATTGCTTGATATATACCAAAAATAAATCATGCAAATACAGTAAGTACACCCTAGCTCTGACAGGGTTTGATTTTCAGAGCTGATTACATGTCTGCTCTCACCAAATAGGATTTCCACTTGCACTTTTCATTTCTAAAACCAATTCCGTACTATTTAAATTTTCCCTACTCACTTGATTGTGTGCTTAAAATGCAATTGGCTTCATATTTAAAGACATTACATATTGTTTCATTACATAATAGCATTGGCGGATTGTTTATTAGAGACGGAATTAAAAAGGTGTTCTGCCTGGAGTTTTTTTTGGTTTTTTTTACACAGATTGCCCAGAGCCTCTCAGTAAAATCTACATCCAATGATTACATGTCTGTCAATCTCAAACCCTCTGTGGCCCGTTTTCTCTTTTAAGATTAATATGAGAGAATGGAAGCAAATTAGCTGCTAAATTAGAGTGCCGTTGTTTCCATACTGAGGGGCCCTCCGAGTATCTATCTCTCTATCCACCTCCCTGTTCTAGCCTGTAATAATAAGCCCAGTGTTCCATGGAACTCTTGGGATCCCATACCACTGCCGCCGGCATATTCTTCCTCGGGTATCAAAATAAACACTCTCAAAACGTTGTACAGCGAATAAATGCTTGTACGTCTTTTACCTTAAAGGAAATAAGGTAATTCTTGTGTTGCAATTATCAAGGTCACACATGATTTGCATGCAGTGGATACAAAATATACAAACCCAAAGTATATATATATGAACTAGCAAATATAGGTCTATGTTATATGTGCAAAAACCATGAATACCTACTAAAATACAATTTAAATTCACTTTTACTTCAGATCTAATATGTGTGGCAGCATATTTTATTAAAATATATTGTGCTGGCAAGTGATCCTTTTTTTATTGATGTTACTCTACCAGAGCCCATCTGGAGCTCTGTGTAAAGTAGACAACCAATCTAATACAAAATCTAACCCACCCAAATGGATTCATACTCTTCTGAACTCAAAGGGGAGGTCAGCGTGACAGGTAATTAACTCTGAATGCTATGTGATTAAATCTTTGCCCAATCTCATCTCTGATAAAGAAATTCAATCACAAGTGTTTACTTATGAAAATTACATTAAACAAGCAATGTGTGCGGCTGAAAGCAGCTATAGGGATTCTCAACGTTCAGTTGATATATTCTCTCGCTCTTCCACACATGCAGTTTACAGAGCACATTATTTGTTGCTGATTAGTAAAGTCAAGAGGCAATACAGTACATAATTCACTTATATCTAAAAAAAAAAAAGAAAAAGTATTTTTGTGAACTTTTTTTGTGAAGTTCACAAAAGTTCTATGCAATATGTGCTATATAATACAAAGGGCAAGCATGCTGAGAGAAAATATGAGACAAAAGATCAGTCCAACAATCCAAAAACAGATTTAAAGCACCACAAATCAATGACGTTAAAACGCACTTGGATTTGTCGGTGATTAAATGTGAGATTACGTCAAGGGCCACACATGCAACGGGGACACCCACCTTGGCTTCAGATTCCCGGATGAGTCTCTGAGCCTCTTTGAGCTTGTCATTTTCAATAGTTAACTGTGCAGATACAACACACACGCACATACACACACCACAGATACACATCATGGGAACACATACATTACAAGAGGCACAGAGGGCAACAAAGAGGCACAAATGGGGGTGGGTTAGATTGACAGGGAACAGGAAGACTAGTACAATAGAGCAGGTACAGTACTCACACCAAACACAATCAAGCCAGAAAAACAACAAGGACGTCCTTCACACAGTTAATGACAATGGCAGTACAGTGTTATATTCCCATTTTGTCTGAACAAGCTATTTGATGTGCAAAAGGCAAAGTAGAGTGTACTGTACTTTTACACTGAAAACAACATCTAATCTTTCTTCAAAAGAACGCCGGCGCGGAGCAATGATTGCATGAAAGGAACAAGGCGCAGCATCACTGACAGTTGGTGTACCTTCAAAAACCTAATTCTATTTCAATTTTTTCTCATTCTGGCATCAAAAAATAGATTTCAACCCAGAACTCTTAGATGTGTGATGGGCATTGATTCTACTGTGCAGCCTTTGTTTTAGAAATGTACCGATTTTGCTTTGATATTTTACTCCGGGCAACTTTGCCAAAAGAAAGAAGATAGGAATATATTCCAAAGTAGCAACAATTTTGTGTTTTTATGGAGTTATTCCCACAGAACATTCCTTACTATGAACTGTAGAAAATTAAATATTGAAAGTGTGTAATGGAAGAGAAGATGGAAACTTTTCAGCTGCGTGTCTTAAGAAGAGTTTTTTTATTTTGAAAGAATTTTGTATAATGGTAGTGAAGTGCAATATTCAAAGCAAAGAGAAATGCTACTTTATAGTTCAACCTCAGGGATTAAAAGTTCAAAGCTATGAGATATATAAGTTTTAAAGAGCAAGATTTTCAGCAGGTATCATTTCCCCTGCTTTCTGAGAAAACCAGATAGTTAGAATAAAAGCATGTGTAATAGGGCTGCCACAAACGATTATTTTGATAGTCGACTAGTCACCGATTATTTTTGTGATTAGTCGACTAATC